TACTGCTGGGCCTACTTTTTTTTTTTTTTTTTTGCTACAGGACATGCACGCCCACTAGAGAGAGATAAGAGAGAACAAGAAAGCAAACCGCCATGCTGGGGCCCCAGTCCCCCATCAGCCACCGAGGAGTGCCATGCTCAGTCACCATGCTCTGTGGCACCTGCTGGCCCCAGCCTCTCTGCACATAGTTTTCAGATGACTTAAAGGGGCCACCTTGAGGGACCGGCAGGTGGCATAACGGCTATGTCACTGCACTCCCACGGGCCGACTGTGGTTTGAGTCCTGGATCCAGTGGCTTCAAACTTACACCGGGCGAGTGTGCGTGTGTGCCTAAGATCCCGAGAGGAGAGTGGACAAGAAGGGACAGAGGCATGGCCATTCCTCAGGGAGGAGTTCTTGCTTTCTGTCTCTCTGACGAATCCATGTGCCCTATAGCAAAAACCTCTCTGAAAAAAAAGGCACCTTAAGTTAACCATGCATGTTGATCACACAGAACGCTGAAACTTAACATACAAGAATAGCTGCATCCTGGAGGGACGAAGAACAGGCCATTTGTGGGGACCGAGACAACCTTTTAATAGCACTACAGACATCAGGAGAGACTGGGAGGGACAGCATCCGCAGGACGCAGGGCCAGGACGCACCACCCGGGGCCGGCGGCAGGCTGGTGCTCCTGGAAGCTCAAGTCTTGCTGTCGAGTGGACTTCAGTCATGGACACAGAATTCCCAGACCCTGGGCCGAGCTGCCAGCTCTGGACAAGCCCCTGGAGACCCTTGCTCCTGAGATGAGGTCGCAGGGGGACAGCCACCAGCAGGACCACAATCAGGAACCAGCTGGACCGCGGTGCCTGTCAGCACACCGTGGAGAGTGGCGGGAAGGGGTTCTGCTTGCTGACCACCAGCTTCTGGTGTTGGTGCGAAATGTAGCCCTTGATGTGACCCTGGGGACAAGAGGAGCCGTTTACATTTCTGAGCCCAGCCACACTCGGGTGCTGGGTTAACGGACAGACCCTGGGCATGGGCGCCCTTCCCAGGTGACGGTGTGGTCCACTTCCCTGGGGCCGTGTGGGTGGACAGCCCCAGGAACTTAGCGGAGGCCCCGCAAGTGGCACTTCCCAGGGTAAGATGAGTCCTACAGAAATGCCTTCCCACACCAAAGACCTTTACAGACTGACCATCATCAGCTCCCGCTCACACCCGGACTGAGCTCTGTGGCGAGCAGCCCCGTCAGAGCTGGTCACGCACCATGTATATCAGGTTGGCCAGGATACACTGGACCTCGTCGATGTCCACGTCGTCCACCTGCATGAACTTCAAGGCCACTAGGAAAGCGTCCAGGGACAGCTGGTGCGTCCTGAGCAACAGGTACCTGGAAAGGGGTTGCATGGTCAGGAAGGGGCCGAAGCACTGCGCAGCCAAGGAACAGACAGCAGGGGGCAGCTGCCGTAAGCCACTGTCCACAGGGTGGGACATGCCCGCCTCCATGCACTCAGACACGCCACACTGGGCCAGCCCGCAGTGCAGTGGGCAAGCCCTGGGCAGAGAGCAGGCCCTGCGTGGCCAACAGCATGGCTGGAGCCACACGCTGAGTGCATGTGTGCGTACCTTGAAACCCTACGGGGAGCCACACGCTGAGTGCATGTGTGTGTACCTCGAAACCCTACAGGGTGGAGACAGAGGAGAAGGACAGTGACGTGAGCACGCCCCCCCGGGAGCTTTCAACTCCCCTCTGTGACAAGCACCCATGCCCTCTGGCAAAAATAAACTCTAAGGTAAGGCCTACACGCTAAAATTTTGACTTTAACAAACAGTATGAATTCAATTTTAAAATATTTACTGAGTACTCCACGAGGTCTGAGACGCCCGTTTTCCACATCTGCATCTCTCTGACATCCTGGCGCACCCCACAACAGGCAGCCCTCTGGGCTCAGCAGGTGCGCCCACGCCATTTCCTCGTTTCAGAGCGTTTTGCCACGGGGCACATGCACTTGCCAGAGAAAAAGCAAGCAAGAAATCGCCCCAGGGAGGCCACACCGCAACCCTCCTCCGTTCTCCCCTCAGGATTTTGAGCATGGACACACATGCGCCTGGCATGAGTTTTAAGCTGCCGGGTTCGGAACTTGAACTGTGGTCCAATATGTGCGTCCAGCCACCTGCCAGCCCTGTCCTTGCCATTTGCCGTCTCCCCAGTGAGGTCGGTCTGCCTCTGAAGCTGGGTGCGCTGAAACCCTGCTGGGGGGGCCTCAGAGCGCATGGCCGGCTGCCACGTGTGAGCAGGGCAGTAACACAGGGCTGCAGCGGGCAGCGGGCGGGTGTGAGCACCCTGCGTGGCAAAGCGTCGGCCCCTGGGCCTCTGACCTCGGACCTGGCGGGGCTGCCCTGCCTCCGCACCGAGGCTGTGGGCGGAGAGCGCGCTCCCCTGCTGCTCTGCACACCCCCGCCCCCACACAGGACTCACACTTTCTTGAAGAGGTTCCTGTAGGCGATGACCTTGAGCTTCTCCAGGATGAGGAAGATGCCGCAGCGGATGAAGAAGGGCTCGTGCTTGGCCAGCGCCTCATGGAGCAGGAGCAGGTTGCCCTCGCTGCGCGGGGAGGGCGTCAGGGCCGAGGCCGGAGCCCACATGCGCGGGGGTTACCGTCTGTCACTTTGCAAACCCCGAGGGGACAGAGGCCAGCCGCCCTACCTGACAGCTTTGGTGACCTCCGCGAACTGCATAAGGTGGTACTTTCTCAGCAGCTCGATGGTCGGCATGTGGCCCTGGACAAGAGGCAAGTTTCACGCTGAAAAGCATCTTTTTATTTGGAGAGGTTTTTGCTACAGGGCGCGTGCGCTCACCAGAGAGACAGAGACAGAGAGACAGAAAGCGAGAAATCACCCCCCAGGGGGGATGGCCACGCCACAATCCCTTCTCCTCCATTCTCCTCTCAGGCTCTTGGGCACACACGCACACGCGCCTGGTGTGAGTTTAAGCCTCCAGTTCCAGGACTCAAACTGCAGTCGACTACATGGGAGTCCAGCGACAGAGCCATTATGCCAACCGCTGGTCCCAAAAAGCATCTTTTTTGACAGAATCGTTTGCAGTAAAGTTCTTAGCAAGAAATTTTGGTAAAAAGAAGGTAACCAAGTTTCTTGAAATTTCTTAAGGGGCTGAACAAGGGATTAAAAACGGCCCTCCAGGAAAGTACCCGACGCCGCCCAGACGACAGCCTGGGCAAGCAGTCCTGCCCCTCGACACGTGGCCCAGCTCGGATGCTCCCATCTGTCTGTGTGCTCAGAGGGTGACAGCTGGGAGAGAGGACGAGCAAGAGTTTCAGGAAGAGGGGCACGTGTTCCGGAGGGGCCAGCAGAAACTCGGCAGCTGCTGTCTCCCACGCAGCCAAGGTTCAGGGAGGGGAAGGCGGTGCCCCCTTCTGCTGCCCCCCAGCAGGCGCTGGAAGCGCGACCCTACGGGGGGGC